ACCTTCAGGATTACCATGAAAATTAATGACAGACATAAAATGAGCCTTAGTGCCGCCTGTTACACTCCTCTGCAGGCCATTTTTGCCTATTTTTTTTTCAGTGTTTTTTTAACTGTCATTACACTGTCACAAGTGTAGAGCAACAAAATGAACTCTCTGCATTTAACTCATCCCCTTGGGGAGCAGTGAGCTGCCATTGTGTGGCTCCCTGGGAGCAATCAGGGCTTAAGGGACCCAGAGTGGCAGTCTGAGGGGTGGGCTCCAAGTCACAACCTTAGGATTCCAAGCTCTATGCCCTAACCACCAGGCCACCACTCCCCCAAATTATCTTCTTTCCTTAAATAATTAACATGGTCATAACTGATGAAGGTAAGCTTGGAGTGCTTTCGATATTTTTTATTATTCAGTCGGTAAAGATAGATGGCTAATGCTTTCTGTTGATGTGTATTATTTGTACCAAATGTAAGCAATATGTTGTTTGAGCATTGGTGTGCAGGAATTTAATATTGAACAGCAAAAAATGTCTTATTTTCTTTAAGCAAATTTGGCTGATATTTAATGGTGATGATTTTTGGAACAGTTGAAGACCTTTAGATGACAGGGGAAATGTCTTTATTATCTAAGAGAAGAAGTCCAGCTGACTGTTGCATAATAAGCCCTTAAGACCTATGATAAGGCTGTTGAATATGAAAGTATTAAAGTAGTATTGTTTTAGAGAAAAGAATTGGTTTAGAATAACTCTTTAAGAAACAGGAAAGTCTCTGGTGAAATTGCCTGCACAGGTTGGCTGAGGTCTCAGTCATGCATAACCTTCAAATCCAGTTTATGCTTTGTCATTTTCTATTGCCTCTGCCTTTAGATGCCTTCAGTCTTTTTGTTTTTTTGCATTAAGGTTTATTAATGTTTATGTTTCTTTATACAAGCTTTGAGGCCACTTTTGTTCTATTAACATATTTCTATGTGTTTTAGGTTACTCTAACTTTAGGTTATTTAAAAAAAAAATACTTGAACTGAGCTAGCTTGTTTGCATTGCAGAGATTAAATGTTCTCATTTAAAAATAAAATTATAGAATAGCATGGGATAGAATAGAATAGAATAGAATAGAATAGAATAGAATAGAATAGAATAGAATAGAATAGAATAGAATAGAATAGAATAGAACAGAATGAAACTTTACTTGTGCCGCCCTGGGATGATTCATTGGCTCAACAGCAAAGTAACAGTTACAGTGAATACAACACAAACTAAAAGTTTGACATAAAGAAAATAGTTACATTTGTCAGAATTATACAAGAGAAATAAATTGGTCGTATTTCGTTTTAAATTGTGCTTTTATATTAAAGCAAACATAGATAACATAAAAAAACATAAACAGACAAAACATAAACATATGCTTAAAGATATGAACAGTTATGTGTGATATGCACATAACGGAAATAGATATATATTTGAAATATGCATCATTTATTTTAATGATTACTGTTAAAGCTTTAAGTTAAAAAAAAATAATAATTTAATGTTACCACATATGGAAAGTGATATAATGTTGTCAATTTGGCAGATTTTTTTTCTTTTAGGTTTAAGGTTAAATTATTTTTTTACTTCTAATAAGATGTTCATGCAGAAAAGCTGCTGCTTGGTACGCTATTAGCTAATGTAAGTTAAGTGGTTTTAGCAGCACCTCCAGCTTGGTTGTAGATTATAATAAGAGAAAAACTGCATTACTTGCATTGCATTACGTGCACGTGCAAATGAAAAACATAATGTTTAAATCAATGGATAAACATAAGTAATAATTTACATTGTTGTTTTTTTTTTCTATGCTGTATGTTGCACCTCCCAACAGCTTTGATGCCAGGCCTCCTATTCTAAGTTCTAATCTCATTGCTTACATCCTCGCTTGGTATCCTGGGGTTCTTTTCAGCACAAAGAACAGAAAAAATGAACTTCATCATAGTGCAGAGTGCCAGAAAAGAATTTACTGAGACCCTTCTTTGGGGTCGTGGTGTAGGAAATAATCATGCGATTTATGTGCAGACGACTTGGTCCTTGACACTTTGCCACATGTCTTCCCCCCTCACTCTTAACCCTATTTCTCCCTGTATATTTAAAAAAAATGTAAATAAAAAACACTAGTGCCTAAAAAAATCCTTTAAAAAAATCTCTTCACCTTGTTTGAAGCAATTCAAATACAAATTTGTTGGATTTGATTTATTTACTGATTTTAACAACAATATATTAGAGCTGAAACAATTGAATAAATCGTGTTAAGCGATTATTGAAATGACCTTCAACTAATTCATTAATCGATTAATTATTTACTGGAGTGTAGAGACTCTTAAACTTGTCTCTATCTGACAGAGCGACCCACTTTGAGCAGCAATCATACCAAAAGTGTAAAAAAATGGGTAAACATTTTGCATTTAAGATAAGAAAAGCTTTTTTGTCTGTCAATATGCCTGACTCCTCAAGTGGAAAAATTTTTGTTTTGCCTGGTTTAATTTAGTAGAAGACTTCATTAATGAACCTTTGGCTATTAAATTATTAAACGATTACTTGAAAAATAATCAACAGATGAATTAATTTGCAAAATAATAATTTGGTGCAGCCCTAATACACATATAATAACTATTAAGTCTTTTTTTCAAATAATACTTTATAGCCAGAAATATCCCAGGAGCACAGAAGATGAATCTGGAACAACTTTATCATACAATAACCTTTAAATCAAAGCTTACAATTTACATTTTATGATGAGAATATTTATAAAAAAATGTAACCTAGGGGTATATTAGCACAAAATTAACTGATAAAAAAAACAAACAAAAAGACTTGTCTGTCTCAGCTGTGTAATTCCATTCAGTATTCGGCTATTTTTTAAAGATGAATAATATTGACTGCATAGAAAGTAAACACAAAAACATTTAAGATGAACATAATCATTATTTAAGCAATTCTGATTTTAAAATGCCATACTTTCTTTAGCTCATATCAGTAAGTATATGTAAGATTTCATGAAAAAATGTTGCAAAGAAATAGATGGACAATTAATAACCAATGGTTGTCAGCAGGCCCGTTAGGCTGTTCTAAACCTTTTCTTGTACCCTGAGAGCCTTTGTGTTCTTTTCTACGTGTTCCCTTATGCTCTATTTGTACTTTTAAAGGTTCTGTTAAAAAAGTAACCACACAATCCTGAATGTTTGGCTGTTTGACTGAGTCAAGCTGCTGATGGTGTCTCAGAAGAGTCTCGTCTGAGCAGGAAGTCTGTGTGAGGGCGGGTGTGCAGCCACGCTGACGGATGCATTATTAAAACATCTTCATTAGAGGACGGCTGTGGTCTGCTGGAATGTGCTGAGGCACAGGAAGAAGGAGACGGTTTGTTTTATTGCACTGAGGTGGAAACAATAAACTCCATCATATTAGATGTTACTGGCTCTCTTTTGTTAAGTAGATCGAGCAGGACAAAAAAGGATATAAATGGCTCAGATAATACAGTGCTTTGCATGCAGACGGATCACAGTCGAGCCATTGTCTAGATGCTTTTGTTGTACTTTTAATCCGGTAAGATTTTGACCTCCATCTTTAAACAGAAAAGCAAAGATAAATCAGTATTTAACCCTCTACCGTACATCAACTTAATCTGATAAAATCCAACGAGACAGAAGGACATTTCAGCAGTGTGTAAAATGCACCCAGATGAGAAAATTACATTTATTGTCCTGATCAGACTGTAGTATTTTCATGGCTAAACGTATGAAAGATTAGACTGTCTGATTGTGTTTCAGAAAATATTATCTTTCCAGTCAGATAAAAGACAGAGTAAAGTTTCTACACATCATATTTAACTCCTTCGGCTTCAACCTCAAGGTTTTGTTTCATTCATGCACCCAAACAGACTCGTCTATTTGTTGCTTATTTTTTGCACTTGGATATTAGTGATAACTTATTTGGATACTTGAACTCATTTCTCTCTGATTACAGTGAAGCTTCAAAATTATAAAGATTAAATTACCCCAAACGCATTCAACAGTGTGTGATCCTATGACAGGTTAATAGAAAGGGTGTGGTTCAATCTAATAGTTGGTGTCTGTGTCTCGCTGAAAGAATTGTTCTTCCTACAAACTACGACACATCTTCTGCCATCATAGTTGTTTATTTAGGATTTTTTTTTTTATTGTTTTGCCTTTTTACAGTTAACCCCTCCATTTTTGTCATGGAAAACAACTTATGTCATAAAATTTGATGTGTATCTCCAGAAAGTCCCACTGGTAGCTGCTTTGCAGTGAGTCCCGTTTATCCTAATGACCTTTCAGATTGACAGGGTGTAAGCTATGGCTATAATCCTTTGTTAGCATTTTAGCTTTCATAAAGGAATAGAGTCAGACACCTTTCAATTTGTGAAATATAAGATGCAGTTTTAATAGGATGATTTCATATGAGTGGGAAAGGCCGTCCAAACCAACATAAACGTCAAACCGTCCAAACCTATCCTTGCTGGTTCGACCTTCTGTACCAACAGCTGCCATCTCTTATTTATGAAAATTGGCAATGAGTCTTTTACATTATTGTGGTTTGGTATGAGTGGTACTGTAAAGCATCTCAATGAGACTTTGACTACGCCTCTTAATACCTTTGCTGTTTTGAGGCATCCAGAAGATGGTTTTCTTGATGTTGCTGGTGTTTTTAGAATCACTGTCCTGCTTGATGACATTAGTGCTCTCGATCCTAAGGAAGCACAGCAGATCATTATCCTCACAACACTGTGATAGTATAGTGTTGTTTTAGTAATGTAACATGGATAAAAAAAACGTATATAAATGCTTCACGTTTGTCCCATTGGTCCACTGAATTGTTTTTCAAAATGCTGTGCTTTTTTTTTTTTTTGGATCAGCATTGGTTTTTACCATTTCACCATGGACCTTTTTATTTTTAATTGGTGATTTATGAACACTACGCTTAAATGAAAATTTTTAGGCCTGCATGACTTTAGGTGTATTTTTGTTTCATTTTGTGAGTTTCTGGATGAGTTAGCAATGCATTATGGAATAATCATTTATTAGATAATGAGGAGATTCACCAGTGTTTTGGGTTTTTTGACTGACTTGCCCAGACCATACAAACACCATTGTACGTCCTTTGTTTCCTTTGTTCTTACATTTCTTTAGATCAGAGCATATGAAAATTACTCTTTCAGATCTTTTAGCCAATTGCAGGATATTTTTGTTTTTACTGGTATTCAGTATTCAGATCTGGGTGCGACTGGTAAAAGTTAACCAAAAATAAAGCAAAGTCCAAATAAGTTATCATGGTTTAACAGTTGGGATGATTACTTTTTGACATAAGCTTAGGTCATTTTGGGTATCTTTTTTTCCCCTTAATTATATAAATCGTTAATAAAACTTAATTAAATTTTTTCTCCTACTGTATCTGTCTACAGCTAACATTCGTGAGTTGATCTGAAACATTTGAGTGTGACAAACAAGCAAATATAAAAGAAATCTGCAAGTGATTAATAATGTTGAATGAGGAGCAATTGCTAGTTTTTTTAATTTTACAAGTAATCAGTTACCCATTATTTATTAGAAATATAAAAAGCATTTTACTCTGTACAAATGTAAAAGAAAAAAATATCGACATTAAATATAGGTCACATTTGCTTTAAGCAAAATAGGAATGTTTTGCTGTCCAATGTTAAATTCCTGCATACCAGTACTCAAAACAAATAATACACATCAGAAAAAAGCATTTGTCGTCTATCTTTACCAAATAATTATGTTGGCACAGTTCAAAAGCACAGCCTGCTTTATCACAACAATATCTGCTGTGTAATATTACTTTGAGTCTGTGCGGTGAATGCTCATCTACAGAAAGTGTTAAAAAAAGAGCAGATTTGATATCGGTGCAGGAACAACCATATCCATGTCAGAAGGATTAACAACCTGTTTTCATAAATTAACCAGGAAAACATTTGAAAGAGCTTAAAGCAACAAACAAGATAAATAAATTCAGACTCAAACATTTTTGTTTTGTTGAAGAACTCCTAATGGAAATCTGTCCGAGAGCAAAGCGAGTCAATCGGTACACATGAAAGCTTTTTTTATGATTTGTAAGGGTTGAAGCGAAAATCTCTGAAGTATGTAGACGACAACTTCAGCTGGATTCAAACAGTTTCATTGAACTATCGGACCAATAAGACACTTGCTTTCACCGAAGTGAGGCTTAAAGTGTTCCCCTCATTTAAGCGTGAGATGAGTTTCAGGCAGTGTGTGAACATGAGATATAGTAAAAGAGTAGAAGAAATGTTTTCTCTAGAGCTGCTCCCCTGCACCCCTGTGGCCATTTGAAGGCATAAAAATGGTGATTATGTTGATGACTCTACTGGGGAGTTTAAAGTTAAACAGGAATTTCACTGTTCACTCCTACAGGAGCATGAGGGTACCCCAACGGCATCCCTTTTGAATTTGGAGCCTACTGAAAACATCTTAGAGGTACGTTTGATGTTTTTGTGCACATTCACAGAGCTGCCTGATTCGAATCTCAGACATGTTTGTTGAGAAGTCTGGGATTTAATTTAATGCCCTAACTTGATTTTTATCAGTCACCCATACATTATGAAATACGGTACTAACGCTGGCTTGGATTTTCAAAATAAAACGGACACATTTAACATTTATTAACTAGAATAAATTATAATTTACACCCCTCTGGTCTAAAAATGATTTATTATGTGCTGAAAATGGATATATGAGTATGATTTGATTTTTTAATTTATTGATTTATTCACATGCAGTTTTCTATAAATATTGCTAAAAAAAAAAAATCAGTTTTCAGTTACTAATTTCAGTTTCACCTCAGGGTGATAGTACAGATACAACATTTTAAACTTTCAAAATAAAAGCCTCTCAAAATCTCTAAAATTTAGACTTGTTTGCAATGCAATATTGCTAATACACTCCTAGATACTTTTCAATATCAGTTATACAGTAATTGGTCACTTTTCTCTGTTTCTGCAAATGTTGTTAAGAAACCCCCTGCCTCAGGTTACTGATTTCACTTCAGAATGACAATAGGACATGCCTAGATGCTTCTCGTCAAATATCATTAACATGTGATGAGGAATTTCAAAATAAAAGCCTCGTAAAATTGGGAATTTGTACTGTGTTTCAATGAATATTGTTGAGAAAATCCATGTTTCCAGTTTCGGATTTCACTTCAGGATAACAGTAGGACACCATTAGATGATTCTCACCAAAGGTAGAATTTCAAAAATGAAAGCCTCTCAGAATCAAAACTTAAATTAAAAATTAAAAAAATAAAATTGGTCACTTTTTGCTGTCACAGTTGCTATCAATATTGCCCAGAAAATGTCTCTTTGTAATTACAAATTTTACCAAATGCATATCACCATTTGTCATCCAGATCTGATGTGGAATTTCAAAATTTAAGCCTCTCACATTTTGTCAAATTTTCGCTTTAATGTCAGTTGCTATGAATACTGGTGGGAAAACTCCCTGCTTCCAGTCACTGGTTGTAGGTCAGAGTGACAGTAGGACACCCTTATAGGGGAAACACCCGCAAATAATACCAGTGAATGATATCTAAGAATATCATTCAGATCTGATGTATACTTTCAAAATAGCTTCTACAAAAATCTAAATTTGGTGACTTATCTTTGCTATACCTTATAGGAATAACAACCCTTTTACAGCATTCAACGTGCAATAAATAACGGGCAAACAAAAGAAAGGAACCACATCACATACTGATAGAAATATAGACTAATAAAAACAAGGACCCTTGTTGGTCCACACGCACACTACAACCAGCCACTTCCTCTGATTAGATAAAGATTATGTTGCTAGAGGTCTGTATCCAGACTCTAGAACCCAATGGTTCCCTCTTATACGTCAACACTGGAGTGATCTGTAAGCAGACACACTCAGTCCACTTCAAGTTATGTTTACCATTCAAATATAGTGACAATTGACTCACTAATATTTCAACACACTGGATCAAAAATCTCCATGCAAAACCCCCAAGGGGTCTAAATAACTAACCGGCAACACTAGCTCCTCTGGACCACATAAATAGGCACACCTTGCTGCTGCCTGGCCAGAAAAATGATCGAGGATGTGTACTCTGAAGTACAATCAGTCTGCCGATTGAGAAAGCGTTGGAGAGAGGCATACGGACTGGCAATGCATATGCTGTAAACTGTTTTTACCTAATTGGTTGGTGGATTGAACAAAATGGCAAGTCAGCTAGATGAGGATGAGGAAGGCTGGACAATGGTCTCAAATGCGAGAGAGAGAGAGAGAGAGAGGAAGTAAAAGGAATTAAAAAAGTAAAAAAAGTAGTTCAGATGAAGAAAGAGTTTTGCAAAGGAAGGTTGTCAGAGAAGAGATAAAAATAATATTTAGATTCAGGGCTGAAGAAAAACCGGCATTTGAGCCCCATTATGATTTCTAGAGAAATAATTAAGAGAAATAGGGAAGTCGAATTAGTGAAGGAGTTGAGAGATGGAAACTTGCTGGTAATTTGCAAAAAAACAAAGCATTGGACGTTGAACACATAGGGAAAAGAGAGGTCATAGGAGAGAATAACAACAGTGAAAGGAGTAATAAAAGGAATACCAAATAATGAGGATTTAGATAGATTAAAGAAACATTTTTGGAGGCAAGGTTAACAAGATACAGAGACTTTATGAAAACATACAAGGGAAAAAGGCGGCAAGCACGTCACTGCTGATAGAGTTTTCAGAGTCCGTTCTACCAAAAAGAGTTAAAATAGGTCTCATGAGTTTACCAGTCAAGGCATTTATTCTGCCTCCACTCAGGTGCTACAGGTGTCAGCAGTTTGTAGGGGGAAGCAAAGGTGTTCAAAATGCAGAGAAGAACACAGAATTGAGAAATGCAGGGAAGAAGCTGAAGAATGGTGTTGTAACTGGGGAGGCCAGCACTGAGTTAACTATGGAGGATGTGAGGTTAGAAAGAAAGCAGTGGAAATACAACACGTTAAAACAGCAAGAAATATAAGCTATGCAGAAACAGTGAAGAGAGTTCAAGGACAAAGGACAGGAGAAATTAATCAAGCACAAAATCAGGTACCAAAGCAAAATAAAGTAGAGAGAGAAGATAACTTCATTCTGACGCAAGAGAAAGCCAAGCATAAGACAAGCATTAGATAAATAGTATTAATATCAGATAAAGATGAAGAATATTTGATTATTATACCGTATTTAGGATACAACGTAAAGCAGGTACATTTATTTGCTAGAATACTGTCATTTTGTTCCACAATCCATAGAGGACCATCTGGAGGTGTCAGCCATCACCCTGAAGCAGAATCAGCAGTTTTGTAGCAATATTTGCAGAAATATGGAGAAAAGTGGAAACACATTTAATTTGGAAACAAATTAAACCTTGATGACTTTCAGGGAAAAGTATCTAGGGGCACCCTACTGTGACTATGAAGTGAAATTAGTAACTGGAAACAGGGTTCTTAGCACTATTCATCGAAAAATTGATTAAAAAATGGCAATTGTACAGATTTTGAGGGGCTTTAATTTCAAAATTCCACATCAGACATTGATGAGATTTGGTGAGAAACATCTAGGGGGGGCCTACTATCACCCTGAAGTGAAATCAGTAACTGGAAACAAATTTTTGTATACCAACAATTGAAACTTAGGTCAAATAAATGGGCATTCTGAAATAAAGTGCAAAATGAATTATGTAAAACACTAACTAAATAAAGAAATCATTCAAATCATTGTCATATATCCTTATTCACCGAAGCACATAATAAATCCTTTTTAGATAAAAAACAAAACAAACAAAAAAATTCTACTTGTTGGTTTTATTTTGAAAAGTCCAAGCCAGTGTTGGTACCGTATTTCATAGTGTATGCTGGACCAATAAAAACCCAGTGAGGGGTGGCTTGACCTCTGTGATACACAGCTGTGCTCCTGTGCGGGTTATAGGTCAGCCCGGCGACGCAGAGGAGAATCAGGGCCTCGCTGTCTGATTTGGACAATGAAGAGGCCATAGAGAACCTATCCGTCCGCCAGCTGAAAGAGATCCTGGCTAGGAACTTTGTCAATTACTCTGGCTGCTGCGAGAAGTGGGAGCTGCTGGATCGAGTGCATCGGCTCTACAGGGAAAACGAGCAGAACAGGAAATCCAGTAAGCACTGAGAAAATCATTTCACCTTTATTTGGTTTAAAACTTTGCAGTGATCTTTAATGTACCTTTTTGTTTCTTTGTTGCTTTTCTTGCTTTTTCTTAAGTGGAAAACGTCAGCATAACTGCAGGTATTTTATAATTGATTGTTGGATTTTAAACTTTGAGGTATTTATTTGTTTTGTGATAACTGATTGCTTTGATTAAATCAGGAGGTACACTGCTGTGCAAAAGTATTCACACCTCTTGAACTGCTACATATTTTACGTAAACCACAAACTTCAGAATATTGTATCAGAATCTTTTGTCCTCAACATATAAACAAAGCAATACTGAATTGTGAAGTAGAATGAAATATTTTACTTTCTAACATTTAAAAATAAAGTTTCACTTTGTTTCATCCCTACTATGTCCAAATGTTTTAGTACCATATTTGCTATAAATAACAAACTTCTGGATATTGTTTGCCAAGTTTGAAGACATTTCCCTTTCCATCCAATAAGCTTAGACAGAGGCTAGTGCATCCTAAGGACAAAATCCCCAAACCTAAGATGAGCAGATTTGTGTTTGCAGTTCAGTGCAGTGAGGAATGCTCTGATCTTAATATTAGAGAAACAAAACAACCTTTTCACAGACACATGGCTCAACACAGGCGGGCTACCTCATCTGGATAAGACTTTGCTGTCCACCTACACCTTAAAGGGTAATGCCGTTTTTTTACATTGAGCCCTTGATTTTACATTTTTTTTTAAATATTCATTCATCCAGCTAATCTGAATCGTTCAATTCCATTTCGAGAGAGCGATAATCTGTGGTAGTAGCACTAGACATCTTCCAGGCAAGTGAGTAAAACTAGGAGCAGTTCAGCGGACAGGAAGAATGAACGGTAGCCGGCGCACGTGGATGACGTCATACACTCTCCGCTTTGTTTTTAAAAGATATAAATATAAAAAATATAACCGCGGATGACTGGGGGACAGTGATTCGCCTACATGTTATGAATGCTGGCGTACCATAAATGATAAATTATGAACAGTTTAGTTTGTGCCTTCAAGTCGTTGCCCTTAGGAAGAAGTTACTTGGATATAACCTAAAGGAATATCTTCAGAACAGCTCAGAATGACACAAAACTCATATGGGTGAGTAGAACATGATGTAATAACGTAAAATGAAGGGCCCAATGTAAAAAAAAACAACAATGTTCCCCTTTAAGAGAGACAAACCAACCTTAAACAGAAGGGGTGGACAGCGTTAGAGTTGATACCTTCCTGCTATCATAATTCTCATCGCCATGCAGGGAACCAAATCATCTCGCCTGTTTAATCAGGCAAACAACGACCACAACGACTCTCTATTACTAAGAGGTGGACCTGTTTTCGGTTCATTTTGCATGTTTTCTAAGCCATAAAAAGGCTTTTTTCGGGCTACTCTATAAAGCCTGGAACTCAACTCTACTCCAGACATTTTCAATTGATAAAGCTTTCTGGATGAGAAGTGAAACATCTTCAAACTTGGAAAATAAAGTCCAGTGGTTTGTTTTTTAACTTTTTTATGGACATATTGTGTGTAACAAAGGAAACAGAACAAGCTTACACAGCTATTAACTAGAGGCCTAACAGGAATAGGGGGTAGAATATTTTTTCCCATCACATCTCTGACCTGCTTTCCCATCCCTGCTGAATGCAGCATGATGCTGCCACTGCGCAGTGTTATTTTTATGATGCACAAAGCCTTTAGCATGTCGCCCAATAGTTATATTTTGATCTCATCTGACCAGAGCCTCCTCTTTTTGATGTGTCCTACATACAAACACATTATTTCTAATGACTTTCTTTCAATAGTTCTCTTTGTCTTAACATGACTGCTATTTTTGTGGAGTGCATCATTACTGTTACCTGAGCTGTTGATCACTGCAGCTCCTCCAGAATTATCCGAAGGCTCTTGGCTGCTTCTATTAAGACATTTGCTGGATCTGTAGGTTTTCATTTGTCATATTCAGTCCTTTTTGGATAATGGATTAAGCAGAGCTCTGTTTGACGTTAAGAGCTAATAATTTTGTAATTTTAACTCCTTGTAACTTTATCCCTCACCTCTGTGATGTGTTCCTTGGTCTTTACGACAGTGTTTATTCACATTTAATCTGCTTTGAAGTTATAAACCTTATTGTGTTAATGGATCTCATAATACTCCAATAGAATACACCAGTTTGTGGTTGGGATGGGAGAAAAAAAATTGAAAGATGAAGGGATGTGAATACTTTATTTCAGAAAGCAAAACAAAAACACAAACAAAACCATACTGCTTGATTTTTTTTTTGTTTTAAAGAACAAACCTATTATTTCCTACACTAATGGATTTTCTTTGTTATTGCCCGTTCTTATCCATAAAGTGGTCGCATATCCTCCATCTCTTTGCAACAGTGGAGTTGGAGGTAAGACATAACCAAGCTATCCTTTTCATTTCCTTCATGAACCGCTGCGCAGTTTGTTCATGTGCCAGCAGGACATAGTAAAGGCATGCTGCATTTGATTTCATGTGATCCTACCCATCCTGTGTGTGATCTTATTATGGTCATTGATTCCTGCCTGCTTCAGTGTTTCCATATTCTATATTTAATGCGTCTTCTCCACTTTGCGTCATCTTTAATTCTGAGGGACAGCCTCTCGTCCTGTCATTAATGGGCTCTATTAAAGCTTTTACCTCTTGACGAGCCATCATGTTGCTGCTGCAGCAGCACGTCTCCATCAGGTGTAATTACATTGTCAAGCATCTCGGCTGACACCGAGGCCTCCAGGACCTTATTAGCCCACTTAGCATTCAGCTGCAGGGAGGCAGGGAGGCTGCAGCTGCATCGACTTTTTGTCTGTCACGGTAGCGGGAGCCGGATTTAGGCCAGCCGACTGATCGCTCAGTATTTGACTCCCATAAGTCAGTGCTCTGACACGATTTAAACTGATTTGATGCCTGTGGCTTCTCCTCCTTAGCTGGGATTGAACAAGAGGAAAACACTCCCTTCAATCGGGGGAAGAAGACTGTCAGAATTTAATCAAATCAGGAGGAAACTGTTTAACAAATAATTACAGAAATAGCTTGTTGAATTTGAGTGGCATCTAGAAATGAAAAAAGGCACTGAAAGAAAAGAGGAAATGAAAAGGCAGAAAATAGGAAAGATTAGATTTGTGGATGATTTTCCAAAACGAAAGAGAAGATTTGCTGAAAACTTTATGAAGTTTCTTTCTGATATCGAAGTAAACATTTAGAGTTTAAGCAACCTATGTTATTCTTATCAAATGTAAGGAAATATCCTTCAAATGCATTCGAGTCTTATGTTAGTTTTAGTTTCAAGCTTCCACTCCTCTTAATCTGCTAATTTGTCATTTGTTGTGTATAGCTTATTTTTTCACAAATCTAAGCATTTTTTACATGGGTTCTTAATGCACTAAAGATGCACAAACATATTTGCAAACCATTGCAATTCCAATGTATGCGATGCTGAAGCCGCAAAAGGATACCAAAAAGCAATGTTTCATGGTTATAAAATCGCTGTGCATTCAAACTCTGCTTGATCATAATATGTTTGGCCAGTTTAATGGGTGGATAATCCCACACCTGATCTGCTCTTAGTGACCAAGATACTGGAACGCTTCAGATAGAGCTGAGGTCACTGCGTAGACGGAAAAGAAAGAATGAGAGAGAAACCCGCAGGATAATTGTAATCAATTTTCATTACATTATTCAGCAAAAGTATTTTAATTTCATGTTTTTCTCATAAAGTATAGCCCATATTTTACATTGGTAATACATTTCAATCCTTTGTGGTGTGAAACTGCATTGTTCTAATAGTTAACTTAGTTATTTTTCAAAATCAATGTTTCAATTAGCATTCATTTACGGCAGTAAAACTGAAGAACTGCTTTAAAAACCAGATGGTATTGTAAAAGTATTGCAGGTAAGGATCAGCAAATAAAATGTTTTTGTCCACAATGCCAATTTAATTAGTTTGTATTAATGAATTTGTCCCAGTTCGATATTTAATTAGATTTATAAAAATCATTATCCACAGTTTTTTTTTTTATCTGAGTAGCTTTAAAGATAGTAAAAAGTTTATTAGCGTGACTGTATGGGGTCTAAACTGTTATGACATTTAATTCCCCACCAATGAAGTTCTGGATGCTAAATGATCTGCTTCTGCTTGCAGTTTCTAAAGCGATTTAAATCTTCCTACCTTGTGAATTGCACTGAAAATGTGTTTCGTCTGATGATGATGTTTTCAGGACTATCAGTTCGCCTTATTATAACGTTAACACTAGCCTGCTTGCTCTCTGTTTATATTTGACTTGTTGATATTTCTGCTTTTTATGTTTTAAACTTCTGGAAACTTATAGAAAAAAAATATCTTCAGCTTCATGAATTTGATGAATTTGTTTTGAACCTCATAAAGTGTATTAGCTGGTATTTCAGCTACTCTTTAAACAGTGAGAGAAAGGGAACTGAAAGAGCAAATACTGTCGGTCTTTCCTTTCAAATTCATTCTTTTCTGGCCAAAAAGAGATATACCGGTATACATTAGATGGATCTATCCATCCATCCCTCCATCCATTTCTATACCTCTTTTATCCTGTTTTGGGTCAGGCAGTGTATACCTTATATACACTGCCATTACACACTTATTTAAAACATTAAAAGTACAAATACACCAAGTATTTTGGTCAAATTAAGACTTAAATGCATCTGGAGACTCCAAAAAGAGATGCAAATTGAAACAAAAAGAAAGAAAAGAGAGTTCTACATCAAAGTGGTCTTTACAGGAGAAGATCACATACTATTTGTGTGTGGTCTTCTCCTTCTGTAAAGGAGGAGTAAAAACCCAACAGCCAAAAACACCTCATAAATTAGAAAACTCCCCAAAAACTTTTAATATAAGCATAGATTCAGTTAAATAAGGCATTTTAGTGTCAAGAGTGTCAAAAGACAAAAATAACAAATTATGAAGAAAAATACTCTTATAAACAGAGAGAAAATATTTGAGGAATAGAATAGATGAGAGGGGCTAAGAGGACGTGGACGACGTGAACAAACCATTTGACCTCTGCAGATCAATAACCATTTATGTGATGTTTCCCACTTCCCTCCACAGATGGCGTCCGAGCTCAGCTGGCGGCGGACGAAAACCTTTGCCGCATCTGCATGGACGCCATCATTGACTGTGTGCTGCTTGAATGTGGCCACATGGTGACTTGCACCAAATGCGGGAAGCGGATGAGCGAGTGCCCCATCTGCAGGCAGTACGTGGTGCGGGCAGTGCATGTCTTCAAATCCTAAACCTCCTGTTGATGTTTGCTTGCATTGGAGAGGCCCTGATTTTTTTAACTGAGGAGGAACTGCCATGTGCGCAACATCTCATTGGGGGAGGGGGGGAAGACGCTGATGGGGCAGAAATTACGAGACTGTTCTGACTAGGCTGTTCTCCCCCCCATCTTACTGACTCGTCCCACCTGTCCTCCAGCTGCACCTGGTCTCCCAATCTACACGGCAGACACCATCACGACTCTCTGCTTTAAATCCTTGCAGGATACAAGAGGAGGTGGTCCTGCGGACGCTTTGAAAGGGCCCGTCTGGTAATTGTGGTGATAGATTTCAGATCCCAGGGTTAGAGTCGATATGGTTTACACGGTCATGCCACATGACACTCTGTGATCTCCCTCAGTGTTCATTAGGATGTGCAATATTGGAGAAAAAAGGTCAGTGTGGGTGTTATTAGAAAAACATGAGCCGCTTCATCTATCACACACAGAGGGACGTGTGGGTGCCAAAAAAACATGGATGTTTTGGTTTAGATCTCACAATATACATCTCATAACCAGCAAGCTTAGTTTAATAGTTTACTTTCATTCCTATGAACAGCTTTAGAAACAAACTGTGTACACATTACCCTGATAGTGTGTGAAACATGATTCATTCCCACAACAAAAAGAAATAAATACACCTTACACGCTTTATCTGGACCACACTTCAGTCCCCTATTTGTCAAAAAGATGATTTTATTATGTTTGCAACTATTTTAGAGCACTAAGTAATGTGTGGTTCTCTTGATAAATAATTAAATCATTACACTATGAGGTTAGATCCTGCTGTAATCTACTGTGCCTTGCAAAAATCTTCATATCCCTGAATCTTTTTTGTTGTTTTTATTCTTATGTAACCACAAACCTCAGTCTTTTCGATTGGATTTTATTTGAGAGGCCAACATATACGTAGAGCATCCATAGAGTGGGGAAAAAGGATCAAAGGATCTGGAAGCTCTGGTTTATTCAGGTATGAGTTTTTTGTTGTTTTTTTTTAGGAAGAACGTATGCAAAAGGAAATTTGGGGAGGAAAACCTCATCTTCCTAAACATATCATCCCCATAGTGAAACATGATGGTGGTAGCATAATGTAGGGATGATTATTTTCTTCTGCAGCTAAAGGGAAGGTGACGAGAACAAGGTTGGAGCTACATAGAGAAAAAATTGAAATAAAACATTTCAGAAGCTGCAATGGAGCAACGGATTTACTCACAAGCAGCACAACAACCCTAATCATTCAGTCAAAGCTACGTATAATGAAACAGTTTGGGTTTGAAAAAATTTATTCTGACAGATTTAATTTATTTTAAAATGACAAATGGGACAAAAATATAATTTTCTACATGCATCTGTTGTTCCTGCTAAAGGTAATTATATAAAAGTGTTGAATCATAGGAGATTAAGAAAATAAAAGCTTTGAATAATTTTCCTGAGCATAACAATTTGGCCCTACTTTATGTTGGCCTGTCATGTAAGATTGTTCATGGTCGTAACTTGAAATTTGAAAAAGATCAAATGCATGAAAACTTTTGCAAAGCATCACTAAACTGTCATCATCTTCTTCCACTAATCGTGCTTCTTTATTATCAGTCCCAGGCTCATCAGGTGCTATCTCCTCATCTATGACTGTAAGATCAGCATAGGTTCTGTCTCATCCTAAATTTCCCGACACAAAGGTAGCTGTATTTGCTTTTACCTTTTATGCAAAATAAAACACTTGTTCTTGTGAAGAGATGCAGTTTAAATCCATTTTAATACTTTGCAGCAATCTGTATCTGATAGTTAGCTTCTGTTGTTGCGCATTAATATGTCTCTTTTTTTGTTTGGTTTTTTGCCTTTTAATTAAAAAAAGCTCCTCTGAGTAAAAAAAGTAGAGAATTATCCAGAATGTATTCCCACTGGTTTCAAATTCTCTCATTTTGGGCATATTTCTGTCTTCGGGTCCAAATAACCGAATCTCTTGTACATCATCTCCACTGTATGAAACACTGTAACCATGTAGGTCCTGTCGTCAAAGCTGCTGTTTGTTGACGATGTCATTCATGGGCAGCTACGGTGATATCAGCCTGGGGGAGCACTCATAGTCACAGATATTTATATTCTGAATGTTGAACCTTTTTATTTTGGTTAACAGGAGAAAAAAAAAGATTTATTAGATTCAATAAAATGCAGTATTACAAACCACAAGTTTAAAGTCTGCTCTTCATTTATCTAAAGAGTGATTCAGAAGTTGCATGGCTAATCCCAAATATAGTTTGAAACAACCGTAAAACATCTGGACTTTAACTCTTATAGATGAAGATGTTTTGTTCTTCCTGTGAAGATCTTCCTCACTTTAAGGCAACATTCGGGAACGAGAGAAGATAAATATTTCAGGGAAGAGTGAAAGAAGCCATTTATGACAAAAGATAAAACAATTCTTAATAGATGGGGAACATACGGCCCAGTGTTACCCTGTAAGTTAATGCCTGTCTGCAGCGTGATGCTTCTAGATCTTGGGAAAACATCCTCACATACAAGAACTAAAATCCAGTTTAGTTCTTTTTTTTTAATCTTGTTGGATTGGCATGAATAATAACTTCTGTAGTTGATTAAAACAAGAAAAGGTACACAAAAAAATACTTTCTTACAGGTTTCTCCTGTTTTTGTTGGACCTGATATCAGATCATTTAACAAGATTTTATATCAAACTTAGATCAAATATAGAAAGCCGCTTTCAAATGACGGTTCCAGAGAAAAAAAGCTTTACTAAAAACATTTGGTCCTATGTCAGAAAATTGTTATCCTCTTTTCTAAATTATATGTTCCTAACCTTTTTTATTCCTCTAAACTAACCTTCCTAAATAACGGCCTAAATCTCCTCCTTGGGATTCTGGTTACTGCTTTTTAAATGAATAAAACCACCAGTTGAGTAAATCATGCATTTCAATCCCTGCTTTAATAATGGCCTATGCGAAGAGTTTGACTTCTATATATATATATATATATATATATATATATATTAAATACATTATTTTAAGAGGTTGACAAACCAGGAGTTTTTGATTTTATTTTATTATTTTTTTTTTTTTCAATTTTATAAGCTACATTTAGGCCTTATATTTGCTGATATTTAGAGAGTTACATCAATTATGTACAACTTGGCTGCAAAATCTAGTAGGCTAAAAGGCCTCACAGAAAAAGACATTGTGCCCTAATATAAAAAGTATAAACAGATGTGGAAAAAGTCGACGTCTTATCAGTCTGAAAAGTGCTACTGAGGCATACATTTTGCACATTTCAGTGGGCTTCTGCATCTTAAGTCCACATTTATGGTAAACCTACTGCTGTTCCAGCATCTTCTGATCATGATTACATTATTTTTGCTGTTTTTTAAACCTAATCTATTACTTCTCATTCAGAGAGGTAAGTTTTTCAATCAAACGGATAGAACTTTGGACATAAAGGGATGTTTGAAGAGAAAGAAATCCTGAACAGACATGTTAACTTGGCTTTAGATGGATAAATATGTACACAAAACTATACACAAAATCTGGGTCAGTGCCAGAAAATACATTAAAGAAGCACTGTCAAGAGTGCACGTTAATCCTAAAGCTAAATAAAAGCCTCAAAGAGCAGTATTAACGCTGTATATTTAATGTATGGCCCTTTATAAATGAGTGAAAATTCACCCACAAATCAAGGTTGATCACCAAATTTTGCATTTTGTTTAATAACCATTCAGTCCAAGGGAAGAATGAGTTAAAAACATTAATGAATCCCTCAAATAAATGTACTCTATTTATGCAAAAAATTATATTTGAAACTTTCGAAAACAAACTAGAACATGTTTTCAAAATCTAAAGGATCCACAGAGATTTCAGTGTTTGTAGTGAATTTAATATAACAAAGAATTTCTATAAGTTTTACATGTATGTTTTATACAGATAGACTAATCTGAGGTAATATACAAAGAAATGCTCTTGAAGACACGAATACACATGAAACTTTTAAGTAATGCAGCTAAACTGTAAACATAGACTGACATTCTATTTTTTCCTTTTACAAAAAAAAATTTAAATAGTACATTTTTAATGAAAATCAAAATTTGTCAGTGTTTAAAACCAAATACAATAAAAAAAAACACATACGTAAAATGATCCAAATAGAGAAGTATCTATATAGACATATAAATATGTATATATAAATCTGTTCCTACATAATAGGCAGTAATGTTTCTTCATTTTAAAAAATAAAGATCATGCCCTTAGTTATTTGTTAAAACCTTTAAGCTTATCCTCAGGCTGTCAAAAATTTAGCAAAATACATAATATTCAGTATCATTTGATGATGCTTTATTCAGAAACTTTAACTTGTTGTGATGGAAAAAAAATCTGCCATAACCAAAGTTCATAATAAACATGATTTAGGAAGAAAACTGGCTCATTGTTTATTCATTTAATAACTCTCTTGCTTTGTTTTGCATGTTTCAGCAATGCTTTTTTGTTCTATGGAGCTCCCCTAAAGCTTAAATTAAGAAGGCAGGTAAAATTGTTAAACAATTAATGAATCTTAATTAGATGTAAACATTTCTTTGCTGCATGCAGAGCTAAAAAGCGCTTCTTTGACAAAGGATAAAAAAGATGGCAGAGAAGTTACTGCTCAGTGATGCCTCAATGCAGAATAAACATGTGAAATAAGAGCAGTCAGAATGACTCGGCGGAACGTTGAAAAAATAACCTTTATACACTGTACAACGTATGCAGGAATACATTCATGTATTCAAATTCACCCCATGAGTGCAAATATATTGAAGCTTTGAAATATACATACAGGAACAGTACCTGATCCAAATATGGTCTTTATATTGGAAATCTTTTTACAATAGCTTTGTCTTTAAAAAAAAACAGACCCAGGCACATTTAATAAAGTGGAAAAACAGCCACACGAACAACAGCTACCTTACATCAAACGATTTTTTTTTTTTAACTCTAGAAAGCTTAACATCAATATCAACTGATTATCTTATCTTAGTTTTTGGGGAGGCCTCATATGATATACTGTACATTGGTGCATTTTAGACTGCACCTAAATGTATGAAAAACTTTCTGATACAAAAATATTGATTTATAATGCAAAAGAAATTGCATTAGAGCAAAATAGTCTATAAACACCAAGGGATAGCTGTGATATATAGACAGTTTATCAATAAATAAGCCATAAACAGGTGCAACAACAAAAAACATATTGCCATAGCTGGACAAGTCCTCCATTTTTACATTCTGGCTTGGCAGCATGTCACTTTCAAGACATATTTTCTGACTGTCTGCTGCCTCTTAGTGGACGGATCTTTCAGTACAGGAGAGGAGCCTAGCTGATCTTCTGCAGCAGTTTGTCCTCTATTAGCTCAAACTGGACGCTAACGGACATCTCAGCGATGAACTGGTCACACCCCTCCTTGGTCACCTGTTTGCAGTACCGCAGGTCGATGTGACAGATGCTACCACAGCGTTTGAAGTAGGTCAGCGACTGATCAGTGACCCTGTTACAGACTGTGAGGGGTGGGGGAACACAGGAGGGAGAAGATCAACAAAAGGTGAAGGGATCTTTGCAGACAGAGTGCTCTCCATGCTGGTAAGAATGAAAGATGCAATCCTCTAACAAGGAGTGTGGAAGATTTTTTTTTTTGGTTTATCATTGTTTTTATTGTGGATAGAGGAAACAGAAAGCCAGATCCTTTTCCAGCCTTTTCAAAGTTTCGCTTCTTTGAATCTTTGTAATTATTCCTCTGAATGTAGATCTATTTAAGTTTAGATTGGAGGATTTAAACTCAATTCCTAATTTACATTTGTTTCACATCAATTTTTAGAGATGTCAATAATTACTGAATTTGTTTAGAAAGAAATTAGAACAAAAATATTAAAGTTTAGTAAAATCTGACTAAATATCAGGAAGGTTTTTTATGCTGAGGTTTTGGTTAAAAGGTCTAAAACTATAAAAACTTATTTAATAAAAGCCTGTTTCTCTATTTAAAATGAACTGACCACCGAAATCCTTTGAATGTTGCCTGTATTTTAAATCCCAATTACAGCTTTCACATTTTACTGTGCTAATAATTAGCTGCTTACCCTCTAGGTCAATAGCTGCATATCCATTAACCATCATAATGAGAAAATTGTTATTACAAAAATAAATTAGCAAAATGGAAATGTTGCAATTTCGGAGGAAGTCAAGTTTCTCAATAAAAGGTTTTTCCACATTAATAGCTTGGTTTTTCAGTCGCATCCAAATTATTATAGTTCACAAAACTGCAGTGGAAACATTTTTTCGCATCACTTGAGTCAAGCGTGCTTAATGCCTTGTAAAAAGACGAAGAAAAAGAGGATTGGAAGTAGTTGGAGGATGATGGATTCATGAGGAGACTATTTTTTTCATTAACTTTGTGATGATGAGGACTAGAGCGTCAGTCGAAATATGGATACAGCTCAGATGTTTACATCAGCAGCCATATAGTTTTTAAGATTTATGGCATGCAATTTAAGTGTATTTCTTTTTTAATAGGAATACTGCAATTGTGATAATTAGCATTTTTGGAATCAGCAGAATTTTATTAACATGGTTTGTGTACATTTGTAAAGGAAGCACAACTACTGTTGTCTATTTTCGTCCACTGTGACACATGCTGGGTCACTCTTCTAAAGCTCAAACTGATCCCAAAGGGGCTTTTATCTGGTTAAGTAAAGGATTTAACACAGATAAAAGTTTATTTTCAGATATTTCATTTGGGAATCTTCTTGAACAACATTATTGTTTCCTTTCAAACTGTTTCTGGTGTCAAATTTAACCTGAATTTATTTCTATTAAAACGTTTAGACTTTTCTGGCACATTTGCAGATTTCCCTTTTTGTTTTAGCAGAATTTGAACTAAAAGATCGATATTTTAATACTAATCAAGGGTTGCAGTCTAGTTTTAATTTATGTTTTCTTTAAAGCTTTTTGCACCTTTTTCAAAGCATGCCTGATTAAAAAAAAAGCATGAAAAAAAACATTTGAGCCTGCATTAGTCCAACACTATATAGAATACATGATACTTTTAATTCAGCTACAACCAGCTGTCAGACACCATTTGTTTAACAGATAAATGTCGACATTTTAATCTATACACTGGCTAATAGCACACGTCAATTAGACTCAGTTTTCCAGGATGTGAAGAGAGATTCTGGTACCTGACAGGTTGATGTCAGTGAGGGAGTCTCTGGTAGTTGTCCCTGCGGCAGTCAGGATGTTGACAGACTGGTCTGTGACGTGGTTGCAATAGCTGAGGTCCAGCTTCGACAGAAGAGGCATGTAACGAATGATGAGGCACAGAGAAGTGTCGGTGATGTCCAGTCCAGCCAGACGAAGGTCCTCCACATTACGCAGCTTGCTCCTGTTATCTAACTGACCTGAGAGAAAATAAAGACACCGTTAACTCTGAAGAAAAAAAGTAGGTTTGGTGTCATTCTGTTAAAAAGTGTAGAGGACATTCAGATGGTACTGGGAAACTGATGAGCTGGTACCTGGCCTGTTATCCGTAGGGGGCGACAGTAAGTCTCTCATTTGGGCGTCTTTGAGTCCCTCGACCCACTGAACATCCAGTGTTCGCAGCAGAGGACAGCTAGAAGTGCAAAGGGCAGAGACGGCAACCCAGGAGCATCCTGAGAGAAGCAACACACGCAGACCTACAGGGCAGAAAAATGCAGTTACAATTTTTAAAATAAAACAAGTCAATTCTTGTATTTATGTCCAACATTGACACAAATTCTACGAGGTTTTTTGATACATTCAGATTCATAATGATGACACCTCCTCCATTAGCACAGATGTATAGTGGATAGACTTGTTGTATCTCTTTAGGAGAGAAAGCAAACAGCCGAAAATAAAAATACCTTCCCACAGTTAAATGGGGCTCATTAGTTTCTACAGACACTCATGCAAAGTCTTGTAATTTCTTCTCTATGATTCCTTAAAAAGCTTAACTAGCTTCTTTTTGGTAATTTTTTTTATCACAACCTGCGACTGTGGGGGCCCTGGAGAGTCATATTTGTTAAGCAATATCTGCAACAAAATGCTATGCACAGCTTTATTTTATAGGCACAAAAATTATATTTATTTGGCAACTGCTTGCCATGACAACAGCATATAGTGCTTAGGCTTTTTCAAATTATATATAATAATTTCATTGGTTATAATGGTTAAGTATTATAACAAAGCAGTCATTATAACCACTCAAACTAAGACTAAAACTAAGATTGTTGTCAAAAACAACTGTTCTTCAGGTTAGCTAAAGAACAGATATTAATGGATAGATCATTCTTTAATATCATACCTATGTACAGGAAAAATAAATGTCCAGTCTAGAACATATCTTCACCATCATCAGACAGTGATGTCTTTAAAGAGGAAATCAAGTCTAGTGCAGAGTGACAGATATGAACAGTTTTAATTTGATTTACTGTAGGTCAAGGTTCCAGCTAATAATAGTTCAATGGGTCTCATCCCACTGGTACTGAAAAACAATCACTGCTAACACTTGATTGGTTACTATAAACATAGTTATTATGAATCACTTTTGCTGTTCACATCGTACAAGTCTGTCATTTGAGTTAATTGGATTGTGTGTGTTTTCCTGGGAAAAAAATGGTTCATTAAACAACTGCCAGACATTTCTTCTTTGTTCAGTAATCTTTGATTAAACTGTTCCCGAAGTCAGTTCTTTTTTTTTTATTTAAAAAAAAAAAAGTTAGTTCTTCATGAACTGCGCAGGGTGCAGGATTCCACATCAACTTATTATTGGTATCAGGTTCTAAAAGGACAACAGAACAACATAAAGCAGCTCCACTCTCTTTCCATCCTGAAGTGTTCTGCAAAGTCATGAAATTATTTGGCTCTCTGCCCAGGATGACATGCCACAGGGGGGCCAATCCAAAATCATTATAAATTGATAGATTTAGGAACTCGTTTATATTCGTTTTCTGAATATTCGTTTTCTGAAAACAGAAAAAGACCTCTTTATTCCTAATGACTTAAGGGTATTGTGGAGGATTTTGTTTAAAATGTGCTGTCCTCATATCTTACTGTGTCTACATACAGCGGGGACTATACAGTGGACTTTATAGTGAACTCAGTTAACGTACTGTTCAAACAGATGACCACTGCTTTTTGCCCCATTGGACATGTAACTCTTCCTCCAACGTGCGGTGACTGCACCATCTTTGTTATTAGTCGCCGCTGTGGTGTAGCGACAGCCTATGGCGACAGTGGGCCACATGGACAGCAAATCCTATAATGCTTTACGAGGAGAGCTCTCCGCACAAAGAATTCCAGGATATATCTGCCTCTTCTGAGGCCCTTGGCAATTTTCAAAGTACAGCTGAGAGAAAGGTGAGCTTCAATGACTGTCTGAAACCGTAGCTCACCACACATATGCGGCTGAAAGTGCACATTTGCAGAAAAAGAAAGCTAATGCGGTGAGCACGTAGGACGGCCTTACTAAACATATCAACAGAGTGATTGACAATTAGGAGGACCACTTATTTACATGATCCACCTGGAAATAAAAGATCGTCCTCTATACCTTTTAGTGTCATGCAGAACATGTAGGGATCATAGATTTAAAGTTATAATCCAGAGGGCTCTGCTTACCAGGAAGTCTGTTGATGAGCCAGCTGAGCTGTTTTTTGGAGATGTTGGTCCAGCTGAGGTCCAGAGCTACTGGCTGACGCCGGATGATGCCACTCAGCATTAGAGGTGTTATTGACTTACATCTGTTCAGGCTGATATGCTTCCAAAGTCTTTTATCACAGCACCTGGTGGTTTACATGACAGACACGTCCATAAGGTCTCATTGTGTTCCCATTTGGGATTTCTCAGCAGGACAGTTCATCTCATACTCACCATCTGTTCCACGCTCTGCAGACACGCATGCAGACACAGAGATCCCTGTGAGGAAGGTGGCTGAACACCTTCATCCACACCTCTCGCCGCATCACATGGGCCTCCCCCTCGTTTAACGGCAGGGTGTCGGGCGGAGGGCTTATGGGAGGTGGTCGAATGACGTGGCGTTCCATTTGAACGCACTTCGGCGGTGAGCGGCGGGGGAGTGGACGAGGACATAAAGGTGTTATTGGTGTGCTTCTGTTCCAGCTGAGTGGGGAGTACCCGCGCGGCGTCCCGTTTACCTCCCGCCCCCTGTGTCTCAGCCAGTCGCCCAGGTCGCTGCTGCCATTGTTGAGGGGCCATCTTGGCTTCTGTTCATCCGCTTCACTCCCCGGCTCGGCTTTTACAGGACTGCGATTCTGGTTTCCCGAGCTGTCTTCTGTTTTCAGCGGCTGCCTGTGGTAATTTGCCACACTGTTCTCCAGTTTAGGGGCTCTTCGATTCTGAGTTTCTTCTGTTTTGATGGGTTTGCAGTTCTGATTGGTTAAAGAGTCCTCATTTTTGAGCGGCCTGCGATAATGAGCGTTGTTCTCCGTCTTCTCTGCACTAAGCTTCTGGTTGCTCAGAGAATCCTCCATCTTGAGCATCTCTTGGCTCAACTCTTTGCTCAGTCCTTTGTTTGGATGACGGCGTCGCTGATGGCGAGCTTTAAGCTGAGAGGAGCTCTTCTCCTGGCCATCTCCTGACTCACTGCTTGGTCCAGCTCTGGGAGAGTTGGAGGACGAAAGGTCGCCTTCTCTGGCAGACGATGTTCTTAAGAGGGGACTTGCAAGTGCCTTGGTTTTGTCGTGTGTCCCGCCATCTTTCTCTTTAACCGCCGGCTCCTCTTCCTCTGTGTCCTCATCTTGCAGCTCGCTGTCATTTTCATTCTTCCTTCTAAAATGCATTCTGTCCAAGGCTATGGCGTCTTCTTCATGATCCCACTGTCCCTCATCTTCCTCCCTGTGATCATTCTCTGTCTTGATTTGTTGCAAAAGCTTTGGACTAAATTGATCATCTGGTTTTAAAAGCTTTTTCTAAAAAAAAAAGAAAATGTAGAGTTATATTTTTATGTAATCTTAAGTTTACAAATATACTGTTTTCTAACAAATTTATGTCAAGACTCTTTAACTTTCTTAAATTTTAATTTCCAGAGTTTTGAATTAAGCTCTTTTAAATTAAATAAAGGTAGGTTATAAACGTACTATGAATGTTACCCCTCCCCGCATATTGCTGCCATTCTACATTCTCTTTTATTAACAACATAGAAATGTTTGGCCGTTTTGTCATATTTCTGGTTATTATGTTGAATCTAAAGGAACCCTCCCTCCAACTTTTATTAGGAAAATACTGGTTTAAATCCACATTAGGGAAGCTGTTGCTGGGCTGTCTGTCAAGCACCTGACTGCAGGCTCTAACCAAGCAGATTAAGCTGTAGAAATTAGCTTGTAATACTTTACCATCAAACTGTAAAAAGCAAATGGCAAAAAAGTCTAATATTCTTCGAAGTAAATCTATTATATATTGATTTATATATCAGAAGAATATCAACTAAATGTGATAGATGGCTATAAATTTATATTTCTTACAACTGCTTTAATAAATATCAATTATTTCCATTATAGTAGCAAAAATGTTACTTCTGTAACAAAGGCAATTGACGCCTGATCAATTATCATTTATTTGTTTTGGGGATTTTAAAAGGCATGCAATAAAAATACTGCAAAGGCTTGACTTATTAATTTCATATTAAGTAACAAAGCCAGGCCTGAAGATCGTACCTTCTTTTTCAACATAGATGGTTCATCATTTGTGTCAAACAGCTTCCTCTTCTTCCGCAACGGATTATCCTCAAGCCGTGTTCGCGGCAAACTATCCAGAGCCAGCAGCGGCGGACGTTTCTTTGGAGGCTCCTCCTCATTCTTCTTGGAGGAACCTTCCCGCTCCGCTTTCCTTTTCACAGCAGACGTCGTCGTCAGCGTGGGAACGGTTGCTGTAGCCGTCACCACTGGCGGCAACGGCTCAGGCTCCTCTTTTGAGTCTCGGTTTAACCGTGGTTCTTTGAGCAGAGAGCCGGGCAGGTTCGATGCGTATTTAAATCCTGGCCCCCTTTTTTGCTTTGTGGCCAAAAGGTTGAAACAAAGAGGGTACAACTTTATTTCTCTGGCTCTGATGTAAGCAGATCAATTCAGCCATTTTAGAAATCCATCAATCTGACATGAATATAATACAGTCCACAGTGATGCTTACTTTCCCAGTCTTCCCTGCATGGTTACACTTTGGACACTCCCAGCAGTTTGGCAGCTCATCATTGACCAATCCGTTTGAGTCTTTAACCTAAATAAAATCAGTGCCATAGATCAGCTATGAAAAGAACAACAACAACAAAAATACTGTTTATTACCAGACTGAAGCTGATTAATTTACCTTGAGACAGTTTGGATGAACAATCTCATTACAGATGGAGCACTCCATGAGCATAAGGTTAAACTTCTCCTCCTCATCCTCCACAGTGTCCTCCTTTCCAGCTTCTCCACAGACCAGACACACTGCTGTGTGAGGAAGGACAGGCTGCAGAAAACCAAACACAATTCACACTGTTAAGGTACAACAATCCATACAAAATCAGTCCACCTTTCCGTATTAACATACTGACATTATTTCTCTGTATGCATGCTTCTAGTGAATTTTAGAATCAATAAAAAGGTAACAAAAGCAGAAAGACTATTTTATTATTTGGCTCTTCACAACCACTATTGAAAATTTTCCCCATAAATCTTACACACACAAGCGCACTCTCACTAACACCCACAGGTGCTTGGATCCGGTTACTTACATACTTGCCAATTTCTATCTTCACCTACCAAGTTACACATTTCATATTGAATAATAATACTGTTGCTGTTTTGTATCTGTAGTTATATCAGTTGGTTGTGCTGTTCTCTTTACATCTCTCTTTGCAGGTGATGAAGCAGACAGATTAAGTTTTTTTTTATCTCTCTTCTGTCTCCTATTTCTTTCACCTTTTCTCCTTTTTTTCATATTTTCTCTTCTCATTTCTCTCTCCTCTTCTACCTTTTCAATGTAGTGTCCACATAACATGAATTATTCCCAACATAAATTTTAGTAAAATTATTTCCATATATAAATCAAGCAGAGCACCATGGTAAAGTCATAATGCTCCACTTGTGACAGTAAAATCTGTTGGGCTCTTTCTTGCAATAAGACTACAATTCTTGTTCCCACATTGCCAGTCAGGAAACTATAAACAAACAAACAAAAAACATATATTCTTCAAAAAATCAATAATACTTCTTTAACAGTGTTATTTTGGGAGTCAGAGGCTACAAAGTCTCAGAAACCTGATCTGAACTGCAGACAAAAGCCAGTTTTCAACATATTTCTCTGTCCATGGTACTGAAATACCAACCAGCCCTTCACTGCCGACAATAAGCAGATCAACTACAGCTCCTCTCTATTTTAGATGGGTCAACTCTACATCAAACCATTAATAATAACAGCAATAATAATAATATTTTTTATTACTACTATTAACAGTAAGAATAATAATAAGCAATACCGAACAGTAGCTTTTAACCAATCGCTCTAACATCTGTGTTAATTATTTTTTCTATTCCTCTGCTGCTACATAAAGATGATCAAGCTTTCATAAGAGAACATCAAGGATGAAATGGTACTGGGCGGAAACATACAGAGGTAAATAAGTTCTCATGCTAAGATATACAGTAGGTTCCACAAAGGCTCCCTACAAAAACACTAACCCCAAAACTAAAAGGTATCTTAACTTCTTAACTTTTTGAGAGAATTTTCTTGACAAAATGCAGAAGCCTTTTTAAAAGTTTCTCCAAAAACGTACTTCTTCTCACACCTATTCATTTATAACAACCCAAAGTGGCTTAATTTGAAGGTAATAATGCAGCGATGTTAACTCAAGAGAAGAGTTGATAACAAATTCTCTTACTGCAATGCACTGCCTCATGATGCAGGACTGTTTCATCCGCCCCGGCCCTCCAAACTTCTTCATGTCTTTGCAGAAGTGGCATTCTCCACACTCTGTCCGTAAGCATGCTTCGCACTTTCTGCAGCGCGTTCTTCTTCTCCTGGCACCAGACGTTCCTCGGCTGGCCGACAGCTTGACTGCTGATGCTGGAGACGCTGCCATCTTAGGTTTCGGCCGGTTAGGAGGCCGGGGCTAAAAGGGCAAGAAGGAAACAGTGAAAGATTGATTAACAATAAAAAGACAGTAGTTTCATGTCTTTTCAAAGCGTGCTTTTGTTGTAGATTTGATTTAATGCTCACAATAAATCAAACAGAATAAAGTCTCCGAATTTAAACACATCAATATGGTGGGACGCATATTATATTTTTTTGAAATTAATATTTAATATGCAAATGTTTTAATATAATTAAAAAGAATGGATCAGAAAAAATATAATAGGTACAGTAAAGCCAATTAGTACACTTTAGTTATGCATTTTTTTGCAAAAGTGTTTATATTACATTCAATTTTTGCAATTAAAACTACAACATATGCTATTGTGCTTTTATGCAATAGGCAGCAAAATTTTTATAGATTCACCTTTAAAAGTAAATTTGTATTTAGTTCCCTGCCTCAAGAATCTCTTTTTGTTCTACTCAGAGCTGCCAAATGTATCTGTCAGTATTTCACATTCAGAACCTGACATTTTTTGCCAATTTTTCCTTTTTTAAAATAACTTAATCGCATTTAAAAACAGGTTGTTGTTTTTTTATCTTTCTGCATATTTGCAATTTATTTCAGATATGGATGTCAGACAAAATTCAAAATGTTCCCACCTAAAATCCCAGTCAAATATATTGATTTATAAACAGTGTGTGGTTGTAACATTTGAGGATATTTAAGGGGTGTGAATCCATTTGGAACGTGCTGAATAAATGTATATTTTAAATCCAGATAAAATAAGACAATGTTGGTGTTAAACAGCATTTCTATTTCTTTTTTGCTCTATCTCCCTCCATGATAATATGTGAATAAACAGAAAAGGGAACAAAGAGATGATATGCATTCATATTTATCCACAGATAACAACCTGACCAAAAGAGGCAGGCATAAACATATTCTCCATGCCTCTCACAGGGCTGAACAGAAGAGCAAACAAATACATATAGAAAAAAAAAAAACGTCCCTTGAGGCACCTTCCAAATTTAGCCCCTCGCTGCCTTGCATGTTTCTTCTTCAAAGAAAAGCTACACTCACAGCCACATTTCGCACATGCTGCATGAAGAAGACACATTGTTCTGCCACAACAAGAGCACACAGACTGATAAAGACATGTGTTCCTTATAACCTGTGCTCTATTTGAAACATCTGTGCAATAAAGATTATAAATATTTAACCGTTTTTGTTTCTGGTAGGATGTTTCTCCCTTGCAGGCTCAGAGCCAAAACAACAGCAAAGTGGTGGTTCCTTTAATCAGATGAATACTCCCCACTATCGTGCATGAAACACAGAGCAGGAGAGTGGGCGATTGGGTGGTGGGGGGTGGGGGGGGGAGTTATAGAGAAATAAGAGCAAGAGGTGAAAAACACTGCAGCTACAGGAGATGAAGCCTGGATTCCTTCAGTTACATCGACAGTGCAGATTTTCCTGGTGTCAGCATAGCAACAGCCACGTCCCGTTCCCTAACAGAACAGTGTATGACACACACACACTTGTAACCAATGAGGACTGTAACTAGAGAGTCTCTATCAGGGAAAGAAAAGGGAGTGCATTCAATTTTAAGTACATAGTGATAATTTTACTCCGTGAGCAGGCATGAAACAGACTGACATGGACGTCAGACATAGGGTTGGCAGACAGGATTAATGGGAGGTATTGAGGAAGCAGGAGTAGAGGGGGGGGTTGCAATCTGCCCTGTAGTTTTTTTTTTGTTTTGTTCTTTTTTCTTTGCTGTTTTTTGTTTTGTTTTAGGGGGATTCACAAGGATTAACCATAGGGAGGGACCAGATAACCAAGCCATAGAGATCAGTCCTGAATCATTTCATTATGACAGATATTTAGATAAATATTAAAAAGCTAGTTATTTCATGATCACAGCAAAAAGTGGGCAGTTAAAACACAAGTTCAAATGGCAAGTGAGGAAACAGATTGATCCCTTCTCATTTCCTCTCAGCACAAATAGCTAATAAAACCAGAGCTCTCTATTAAATTTTATTTGAGAAAATATATATTTGTCAGTTGTACTTTTCCTATTTTATCATATGATTTATATTTTTTTTCAGCTGTAAATAGGGCAAGACATATGACCAGTTAGCAGTTTAATCCTCAGTCATTAGAAAAAGAAAAGGAAAAATGGAAAGAAGCTACTAAATAAAAAAATTACAACCTTTAAAAATCAATACATTTAAACAGGTGAAGGTAGCAGTAGAGATTAAGTTATACCTTTAGAGTAAATGTCTTGAATAAATGGAAAAAAAGCCAAAACATTTCAAACTAATAGATGACACTGACTGAACCACTAGTTACTCAGGCTGTTAAAGTTATAGGATGAGAGCCACACTCTCGCCTTAAGCCAACTGACTTTAAAAAAAGGGGGAATCAAATTTGTAAACGGTCACATGACTTGTTCTTTTTGACAGCAAAACAAGATGGACTCGTTCATCAGCACTCAGGGTTTTGTTTCATTCAAATGCGGTCACAGATTTTTAAGTGCGGGTGGGGGGTGTGGCGCTGAGGTGAGCAGTGGAGTAGGGAAATTTTTTCAAAGAAAAAAAAAAGGAAAATTTGCAAGCAAGTTATAATACAGACAAAGCTTGGGTTTATAGCATCTGGTTTAATGATCTAAATCACATTGAAATATCAACAAAATTCAACGTTTTCACAACCTGGTCACTGAATGAGAAATCAACCTGCATCGTAATGCAACCCCCAGCCAATAGAAAAAAAAAAAAAAAAACCTGGATCTTCAACAAATCACATTCTATGTGACAAACACTCAAACAGGGAAACTAAAACGAAGGGTAAAATCAAAGACAGAGCACTGAGGGTAGACTGGATTAATGCTTTTGTCTCACAGAAGCTCAATTTCCTCCCTGCTCTGTGATGTTCCACGCAGCGTAAACATCAAACATTCCTCCAGTTACCTCGCCGTGCCTGCCTGCAGGGCGTCAGTGTGCTAACCTGCTCAGAGTCTGAGTCGTAGTCCTCATCATCAGCGCTCAGCGACATGGCCATGGCTTGTTTTCAGTTTTCAGATGCCGTCCAGCTCATAGCAAACTGACATGGCTGCAGTCTCCTCCTCCTCCTCCTCCTCCTCCTACTCCTGCTAATGCTGTCAGGCCTACAGCCCTCCCTCCTGCTCCAAAGCTTCACAATACCACAAGCAGATGTAGGAAACACACACACACATTCAAACACACCAAGTCTCCCTCATTATCATGGATATGCTCCCTGGAAGCTGGGGGTGTTGCTGAAAAGCAGAGAGCCAATGGGAGGCAGCCGAGGATCAGAATATGTAATGGGGGGGGTGTACGCCTCCATCCAATAAGCAAAGTACAGCAGCAAAAGTGTTGTCATATTCATTCTGAGCATCATAAGGAGAGGAGAGCCGCCTTGTCCACAACCAATACAGCTTCTCAGGAGAAAAGGCAAACACAAAGAGCCTCTGGGGCATCTGGGTGGGAGCATCCAGAGGCTTGATGAGACCAGCAGAAACTTTACTACGCAATATTTATATGACACATGCATCATTTATACATGACATATGAAGAAGGGATGCTTTTCCTGGATAGGAGTGATTTCTATAAGATCTTACCAGCAGATTCAAAGCCAGAAACTCTGCTTTAAATAAGCAGTTCTAAACTTTTATAATTTTAAACAGCTTTAATATAAAATGATTCGAACAGTTGAAAGGATGTGTCTGAATCGAAGTAAATGCCTGCACTGGAATATCTAAAGAATGGCCGAAAGACCTTGGGGTAGACATCACAACAACTTTCACATTTCATTTGCCCAGAAACAATTTTTATTTGCCCAGTATAATGTTTGATAAATATAGTTCCTAATATTCATTGTTGTATATATATCAATGAAACATGTTTGTTTTTTAAATGTTTTTTTGTAATTCAGTTTACAGGTTCCTAGTGTGTATATGCATGTGTCAGATAATGAACTCAAGCCCACATTACCGTGTTAACATGCTTTTCAGTCCTTCCTGCACATTCTTTTCAAACTAAACTTTGCTCTAAACTGGCGCCGGCAACGCTTGTGGGTCGTTTTCAGCGAATGTCAGTGATTTTAAAGTAATTTTGAGTGATAAATATTTTTTTTTGCGATCATTGCACTTGCCCGGTGGGCAAATTCAATGAAATTTGTACTCTCCAGACAATAAAAACTACTTGCCCTGGGCGATCAGGCAGTGATCGCAAAAAAAAATATTTATCACTCAAAATTACTTTAAAATCACTGACAATTAGGTCAAAGTTATTCCACAAAATTTGCTAAACTTTTAGCCAGGAGGTTTATCTTGTTTAACTGGAAAAAAATAATCCATCATTCATTCTTAATCTGTTGGAATTAAGAATTATGAAATGTTCAAATGGAAAAGATAAGATTTGAGATGAAAAGCAAAACTGATACTTTCTATGA